CAGCCACTCCCCCTGCCCCCACCAGGCTTTTGCACACTACCACAGGCTCCCAGCGCCGATCGCAGCCGGGTGTCCCAGCCACTCCCTCCGCCCCCGCCAGGCTTCTGCGCAATCGCAGGCTCCTAGCGCCAATCATGACCCCGCCTTCCAGCCGCTCCCCACGCACCCGCCAGGCTTCTGTCCGGTGCGCAGCCGGAAGAATCAGAGAATATCGGACATTGCACTTGTCCAGTATTCTCTGATTTTTTTTACCGGACAAAGAGCGCAAATACCGGACTGTCCGGTAGAATACCGGACACCTGGTAACCCAACTGGCTCCATTTGTTTTTCTTTCATTTGAATCATTGCTGTGGGGTGGGGGTGGGAGTGAGGGGTTCAGTATGCAGGCCGCCTTGTGGGGACAGAGGACAACCCCAGACCTTTTATACTGCAGGGCTGTGTCTACACTGGCATGAATTTCCGGAACTGCTTAAAACGGAATACTATTCCGTTTTCAGTTTTTCCGGAAAAGGAGAATCTACATTGGCAGGCTGCTTTTCCGGAAAAGCATCTGTGGCCAATGTAGATGCGCTTTTCCGGAAAAGAGCCCCGATCGTCGTTTTCACGATCGGAGCTTTTTTCCGGAAAAGACTACTGGGCTGTCTACACTGGCCCTTTTCCAGAACAGTGTTCCGGAATAAGGACTTATGCCCGAGCGGGAGCAGAATAGTTTTTCCGGAATAGTGGCTGATTTTGTACAGTAGAGCATCGTTGCTTTTCCGGAAATTCAAGGGCCAGTGTAGACAGCTCGCAGCTTATTCCGGAAAAGTGGCTGATTTTCCAGAATAAGTGGCCCAGTGTAGACACAGCCCAGTAGTTTGGAGCCACGTGAGAAGTGTCTCGCCATGGCCAATGCAGCTCCAGCAGGCACAGCTGGGGGCGTGGTGCATGTCCCTCAGCTGGGGCAGGTCCAGGTTCATCTGCTGCCTGTGCTCCCCAGCCCGAGTGAGGAATGGAGCAAACTCTGCACTTTCCCCTTGCTTCCTGAGGGGCGGGAAGTGATAGAAGTGACTTTGTGGTCTCTTGGAGGCAGAGCTGAAGCAACACCCAGCAGGTGAAAGGAGCTGTCTGGGGCTGCTCACCTCCATCCAGGATTGCACCAGCCCCAAGCTTCCCATCCCCCACCCCAGCTGCAGCCCCTCTACCCTCCCTAAATGGCAGCTGGGGTGGGGAATGGGAAGCTTGCTCTGGACTGGGAGAGGGGTCTGGCCACTTCGAGCTTGAGACTGTGTGGTCACTACCAGAGCTAGCGTGTCCAGCCTGTAGCCCCCTGCAGCATATCCAGGGCCTCTAAGAAAGAGACTGTGGACTGTCCTTATACTCTGCAGGCTGCTGTTTTGATGTCCCTGTGCTACAGAGCAGGGCTGTGTGTTCTCATTTAACCATTCTCATTTTTTTCTTATTCTTTTCTCTTTAATCCGTTGTTGTTTAATAAATTGTATTTGCTTTGAACCTTATGAAGTGATCACTGGGCCAAGAAGGCCTGCAGTGTAAAGAGAGCACCTCGGAGTGGGGACACCCTAACTCCTGCCCCTAGTGACTACAAGGTCAGGGATTAAGCCCCAGGAAACCTGGGCCCAGCCTTGTTGGGGTTTCAAGGGCTCTGCTACTCAGGAGAGTGGAGGGGGAGCCCTCAGGATCAGGGAGCCGTGGGGTAAAGGAAGTGGGAGCGGGGACTCAGATCCTTTCGCTGGTTCATTTCACCGGGGTGTATAGAAGCCAGGAAAGTTCCCCACAAGAGCGGGACCATTCCCCCGCTTACATAATCACCAAAATACAGGAATAGAACAATTCCCTGGAGTTTCCCTTTAAAAATAGGCCATCCCTGTTGACAGCGGTGCTAACCCCAAGCGGAAGGACTGGTGGGATGAGTGGGAGGTGTAGGAGACAGGGCATGTGGGGAGGCCTGGGGCCAGATTACTTGACCTGGTCAGGGCTGCTTGCTGCACCTCAGGATGAGGGGGCAGGACAGGAACACTGCAGCCTCCCCTCCTATCCATGCCCTTCCTGTGGCCATATGGGTGCCAGACTGGGGCATGCCCCAGGATTGGGGTTGTGGACAGAATGCTGTGGGCAGATGGGGGCTGGGCCCCGATTGGGGCCTTGTTGGCCAGACTGCCACAGCCAGAGCCCAAGCTTGGCCACCGCAGCTGGGCTGTTGCAGTAGTCATGGGGCTGTTGGGGCTAGACCATGGGGTCTGCCCCAGGAGCATAGCGGCTGGGAACAGACCGCGGCAGTCAGATAGGGCCTGGGGCCGGGAGGCCACGACCAGTTGGAGGCATCTGCCACCACCAGCCCCTCTCACTATCCCGGCTGGGAGCGTGTACACGTCCCCTACAGCACATCCCCTCTTGCCACAGCGCAGCCGGTTCTTACTGGGGTGCACTGCCTTCCTTTCACCTCTGGGTAGAGATCAACTAGACAAAAAAGACCCTCTTGGCAGGGGTAATTACACAGTTTTTAAAAATTTGAATTAATTTGTCATTCCCAAAATACAGGCAACTTTTTAACTTAATGAAAAAAGAGTCATATTTGGTTCCATACTGAGCCATACTTGAGAGCCATAGGTTGCTGACCTCTGCCTTAGCTCAATGGTGTGCAACCTTTTTCCTGATGCGACCCCGGGAAAATTTTAATTACGCCACAAAAAAGAAAGTGCAGCCCCTTTAAATGTCGCTTTGCTCATCTGCCACTCATGCATGCTGAGACAGGAAAAAAATGGCAGCCAGCCTGGTGCTGCGATTCCCCCCCTCCCCCCCGGAAGAAAGTCTTGACCCACAGGTTGCGCACCACTGCCTTAGATCCCCCCCCCACCACCACCACCAGACACAATGTTACGTTTTTAACCTGTCTCTTGTCAGTGATGGCTCTTTCTGGTGGCTTTAGCCTGCGCGATTTATGTGAAGCATTTTCACAGACAAAGCAAAGTCTGAGTATGTAGACTAAATGTGTTTAATTTCAGTGGCTGCTGTGCTGCCCTTCTACCCACAGAATTGCCCCTCCTCCCCATGGCAGCAGGCATCTGAGTTGGAAATTACTGAAACCGTTTCATTGCTTGGCAGTTTATCACGTTCACTTTCCTGCACCATTCAGTGTTTCTAACAGCTTCTGTTTTTTTCTGCCCCTTTTTAGGGAGCTACTTTGCCAGCCATTTCATCATGGGAGGTGAGAAGTTCGACTCCACGCACCCAGAGGGATACCTCTTTGGAGAGAACAGCGACTTGAACTTCCTGGGAAACAGACCTGTGGTGGTAGAGTGGAATTAACTCAGCTGGGTTTGCAGTTGGGGTGGTGGAATCTGATACTGTGAGACATGGAGCGAGAATTGCCATTTGGACAGAAAAATCTGTGATGGGTGGGTTCTTCTCTCTCACCTGCCTGAGCTTCAAAACTCAGATCCCTGCATACAAGCAGGGATCCCTAAAATCGGTGGGAGTGGTTGGATCAGCCCATTGCAGAGATCTGCATTTTACATGCAGATCTGAACTTTCCCCCAGTTGGGTAGTTTCAGGCACATCCCTACAATTAGACAATGTCGAACTGATGCTCTGTTTTCTGACTGAGACCCCACTAACTTCAACAGGGCCTAGGATTTTGCCTTCTACATTTGCAGGTGACCCTAGAACTCTTGATATGGAGATGCCGACAGCACTGGTGCAGGCAGGTACTCATCAAGCATCTCAAGGCAGCTGTTCCAGTGCAGCTCAAAGCTGATATGCAATATCCCTACCATTACTGGTTCTCTGGAGAACACGCACTGCTGGTGGTGCTGAGCTGTGATGCACACAAATGAGACCCTTAACTGACTCCCAGAGCCCTTTGTGACATGAGCTTATGCCTGAGCCCAGCATCAAAGACAGGAGAGGCTGGTGCATGTCCCTGCTCCACTTACCACAACTTCTATTGCCTCACCTTTAACTCCTCTCCTGGCACATGTGATGAGGCCCAGAGGCATTCTTTGGTTTGTGCAAGGGGAGAGCTGACGGGCACAGACTAGATACCCCAGTCTGTGTTCTGTGCATGCGAGGTCCATTTCCAAACACATTTCCTAGCTAGGCCATTGAGGTTACACATCTCTGTACTCGAGATGGGTCACTGCCTGGAACCCTGCATTTCTCATGATTGTATGTCCTGGAAATGCCCATGCAGATGCAGGAGTTTTGATGTCCTCTCTGGCCCCCCGTATTCATAAACCGGACTCCTAGTGCATTGGGTGCAGGATATAAAGCAGACACCCTTTCCTGATGGCAAGAGTCTAATTGTTATCCGCCGGCATCTTTTGCTGATAACACCATTCATTCTTCAGTGGCAGCAAAGATGCTGATTTTTACAGTTTAATCACTTCTATTTATCTAAGTCAAATGTTTTAACTTGGGGTTTATGACTACCCTGCTCTTCCTGTACTGTTCAGAGAGAGGGAGTCTTGGCAAAGTGGTGGCAGCATGGGAAAAGTAGAGAACCACTCACACAGGTGTTGAATAGAAGTGCTGACATTAAAGACCATATCCAGAAGCCAGCTGCTGCTGTTTACACTGGAGTCGCACATGGTAATTGGCCTTACCCATGAATTTTATCATTTGCATGGACACTTAGAAAATGTAGCCCATGAAAATCTGATTGCAGACTGACTGGCAAACTGCTGCCTTTCTGTGTTCCCTTTGTATTCTTCCTGGAGATGTACCAAAGTACTGGGGGGCACAAGGTACATAAAGGTACATAAAGGACCCACATGTTTGCATTAGGGTTGGAAAGGGTAGAGTAAAAGGATTAGTTTATATGATAACGTTGCTGTTATTTTTGAAAAGCAAATACTGTCTCATAACTTGTGAACTTCTGAAATTGACTTGGAAAAGAGAGAGAAAAATGTATTCCCAGTATATGTGGCTGAAGAAGAAGAATCTTAACCACATTCCACCATATTGGCTCTTATTGTAGGGACGTGTTAATTTCAGGCTGTAATATTAGTGAGTCACCCCTGCTGTCTTATTGCTTTAACAATTGGGGTGGAGAGTTCTGCAATCAGAGATTCCATCATCTCCTTTCTTGCTTTGTAAATTACCTTCACTTGCTGCCCACTTTTGACATGTGATGAGTTTCTGCATGTTGTGTAAATTCTGCCACCATAAGCTGCCATCTCTGTAATCCTAAAAACAGGAGCTTTTTTTCCCTAAATCCATGGTTCCGATTTTTTTCTTGTTCATTGTAACTCCTTTGGCTTCAGTGGCTTTGCTCTTGATTTCTATCCCATATCTACATAGTAACTTTATAAATTTGCTTGTATTCTCCAGAAAAGCTACATTTAAGTTAGTTCCTGTCTTTTTCTGATTTCTCTCAGGGTACGTCTACACTACAGCGCTAGTTCGAACTAACTTAGTTCGAATTAGTTAATTCGAACTAAGCTAGTTCGAACTAACGCATCTAGAACTAAAAACTAGTTCGAACTAGCGTTTTGCTAGTTCGAACTAGTAAGTCCACATTGAGTGGACTCTGAACAGGGCTTAAGGATGGCCGGAAGCAGTGCCGGCAGGGCATAAAAGGAGGACTTAGAGCATGGAGATACTGTCTCAGGCTAGCCGAGGGCTGCGCTTAAAGGGTCCCGACCCCCACCCCGGACACACAGTTCTAAGGGGTGCCCCGCTTGCAAAGAAGTTCTGGCTTGGAGTGCCCTGAGTGCCCACACTGGGCACATCACACCACTCGGCCATCAGCCCGGCTGCACTTGCCGCAGGCTGCCATCTGGGGAGAGGGAGTAATTGGGGGGCTGCAGGAGAGCTTCCACCCCCAGAAGCCCGCAGAGCCAGCCCAGTCCTCCCCATCGGGGGCTCGTACCCCATTCCTCCCTCACCTCCTTCCACTTACCCTTCCCTAGCCCCCCTTCTTATTGATGTACAAAATAAAGATAACGTTTCTTCCAACATTGACTCTGTCTTTATTGAAAAAAACTGGGGGAGACTGGGAAAAGGAGGTGGGAGAGGGGAAGAGAAAGGCTGGGAGAGGGGAGGGCAACTAACATGATCAGGGGTTGGGAACAGGTCCCAGATGAAGAGAGGCTACAGAGACTGGGACTGTTCAGCTTAGAAAAGAGGAGACGGAGGGGGGACAGGATAGAGGTCTCTAAAAGCAGGGGTTGGGTGGAGAGGGTGCATTCAGAAAAGTTCTTCCTGAGTTCCCATAAAGAAGGACTAGAGGACACCAAAGGAAAGGAATGGGTAGCAGGCTTGAAACTAGTAAGAGAAAGTTGTTCTTGACAAAGCAAATAGTTAACCTGTGGAACTCCTTGCTGCAGGAGGCTGTGAAGGCTACAACTAGAACAGAGTTTAAAGGGAAGTGAGATCAAGTCATGGAGGTTGGGTCCATGGAGTCCTATTAGCCAGAGGGTAGGAGTGGTGTCCCTGCCCAAAGTTTGTGGAAGGCTGGAGAGGGATGGCACGAGACAAATGGCTTGATCACTGTCTTCGGTCCATCCCCTCCAGGGTCCCTAGGGTTGGCCGCTGTTGGCAGACAGGCTACTGGGCTAGATGGACCTTTGGTCTGACCCAGTACGGCCATTGTAAGCTCAGGGCTCAGGGTCGGGGGTCTCAGTGGACCCCCTTGATTTTCATGCACACCTGGTCCTGGGTGGCCAGGCTGGCAGCTCTCCTGCCCTAGACGGCCACTTTCCTGTGCCTAGTGCAGAGATCGTGGACAAGGTCCATTATGTCTGCACTAGCGTTTGTTCTTCCACACACACACAAAAAAAGAGTGTTGCTTGCAGTGTAGACACGCTCTTTGTTATTTTGGACTAACTTACGTTATTCCGAAATAACACTGCTGTGTAGACATAGCCATGTGGTCTTCTTAAATTTTCAAAAGTAAATGTCTAAATATATCTCTCTGGGTATGTCTACACTACAAAGTTAGTTCGAACTAACGTAACTTTAATAGGTGCTACACTAGCGCTCCGCTAGTTCGAATTTGAATCGAACTAGCGGAGCGCTTAGTTCGAACTAGGTAAACCTCATTTTACGAGGACTAACGCCTAGTTCGAACTAGCTAGTTCGAACTAGGCGTTAGTCCTCGTAAAATGAGGTTTACCTAGTTCGAACTAAGCGCTCCGCTAGTTCGATTCAAATTCGAACTAGCAGAGCGCTAGTGTAGCACCTATTAAAGTTAGTTCGAACTAACGTCCGTTAGTTCGAACTAACTTTGTAGTGTAGACATACCCTCAGAGACTTGCAGGGAAAATCAGGATTTTATTAAGGCAATAGAGGTCTGAGCCCTCGACGTATGAACCAGATATGCTATAGACAAGTTCAAGCAGGAATCACACCAGGGAAGTCCTAAGGCCTCTGTTAAACCAGAAACAGTTTAACAGATGATCATGGTGGTTTCTTCCTGTCCTGGAACCAATGAAGTCTCTCTTCATTTGCATCCCAAAACACATACATCTGAGTCATCACATCCTGGCAAATCTCTTTGCCACCTTACTTATGTTTACTAAGAAGGGCAAGTTGTCACAATATAGCAATGACATCAGGCAGCTCAGGATAAAATCAGAAGTTTTTTCTTTTCCCTCCGTGCCCAAAACTTGAGATATTTCAGTCTGTCATTGTTCATTGTTCCTTATATTGAGTCCACACACCTGCCCTAGGGGGAGGGTGTAATTCAGCTGGTGTAGACTAAGGCTGCTCTGTGTGATTTCCGCTGCTTGCGTACAGGTATTTGTACTAGCACTCCTTGGGCAGAAACAGCAGGGTAGCTGCGGTAGTACGGGTAGCGGCAGCGAGCACCTCTACCCACTGCTTTCAGACAGGGTTGGCCCTCAGCACAGCTCGACTGTGCATCCGCTGCTACTGGGGCGCCCCTGTTCGTGCTAGCTCGACAGGAGTTAGTGTGAGCACATGCATGTGAGCAAGGGTATTGCACCCCTTGCTGTAGTGTGGACATAGCCTGAGCCATGTGGTTTACATAGACTATGGCTGGGAACCTGAAACAACTTTTTATTTGGGCTTCCTCTCCCTAAAGCTGCACTCCAGGCTGTCGGGCCCTTTGCAGCTCAGTTAATAATGAAGCCCCTAGGCCAGGGGCTCATGAAAGCTGATGGGGGAGAGGGGGAAAGGAGCGGGAGTCCTCACAATTCCATGTCAGAGGGGCTCTCTGAGGTAGGAATGGTTGAAGGGAGGCTGCAACCCCACAACAAGGCCCAGGAGAGAGAGGGCAGCTCTTTCTAAATGGCTTAGCTACGGCAGCAAGTGGGATGGGGAGGAGGCGG